AGGAACCGCATTATCAACAAAAAGAGTTTTCCCAGCCTCAGTGGAATTTGCATTACATCTCACTGGGAGGGCAGAGTTGGCCTTTTCACCAGGAGCACGAGCCTGGTAGCCCTGTGCTCACATCCAGAGTCAGCCATGGGACAGGTTTTTAATCCCAAGTGTTAAGGGACCCTTGTGCAGCAGCAACCTCCCGGGCTGCGGGAGGAAACCCCAAGGGCTCCTGAACACAGCATGCCACAGGAAGGAAGCAAGGGCTTCACCAAAGCCTGAGGACCTAGCAAGGAAACCTTTTGAAGCCTTTTTTTTAATGCTTCTTTTGAAAAAGTGTGGCTATTCTTAGCGTCTTTTCAACGTGTTCTAGCAAGGGAATCTGTTCCTACTGCTCCTAATTTCCATGGAGCACCTGGGCATACGAGGAAGTGAAGCTGGCACTGGCAGTCCTCTCTATTTGGGAGTGTCCTTGTTTCACTACTTAGAAGATTCCAGGTTTACAGCTAATTGTGGGTAAAAAAAACTTTGGTAGGTGGAGCAACATGAGACGTGTCCTCACTTCCTGGCGCTTTTGAGGACAGACACACGGCCAGCCAGGCTGTCTCACTGCTTACCAAGTGGTTCGACATGGTGGGGTGATGAACAGTAACAGAAACTCTTCAGGGTCATTGGCAAGAAGCGAACTAACGATATCAGTTTACTTCCCACAGGAAGGGCCTACAATGAAGAACACGGTGTTTATCTGACATGAATGGTTGGGAGATTACATCACTGGACATACACTGCACCCACACACTAACACCTGCTACACCCAAAGTGGTCCCTGTTTAGCATCTGCTTTTCTGATGTGGATGCATTGTTCTGGCTGAGCTAACTTGAAATGATTTAGGGAAGCATCCTGAGCATTGCTGAGCAGAGATAGCACCACACACGGATATAAAGGCATTGTTGAGACAAGCTCTACATGCGATGTTCTGCCAAATGGTTCCCTTCCCTTCCTCTTCTCATTTCCTTGTTCTCCTTCAGCCACTGGAGAATGTTAATCCCTTTATTTGTTTATATGTAAACTGGTGACCTGCTACAAAAGACATTTGACTAGAAGACTTTTCTGGAAAGAGGCAGCAAGAGAAGCTGGAAATTTCTTTCCTGAATGATGACTTGGTGGCATTTGGATTGGTCCCTTGGACCTAAGCATTTTAACATTGTTATGTTTGGATTGACAGTCAGAATATGGACAGCCCTGCATTGACAGCTGTAAACAAAAAGGAAAATACTACAGCTACTTTAATTCTTCCTTTTTATTGAAAATTTGTTTTCAATATCTGTTTTTGACCAGCTTTAGAAACAACACATTTACAATCTCTTGCTCATCCAAAGCAGCAAGCTTCTGACATTTTGTTCACAACGCACAGAAAAAAGCAGACACGCAACTATATCTGAAGGGAGAAAAGCATTTTCCATAGCTAGTCATCACAGTTTGTGAAGGAAAAAAAACGTTGGTATACAAAGATGTGGGATTTATACAGGCCTTCATGATTTCAAGGCTCGTGGAAATCAACCACCCACTTTACAGACGTGGAAAGAGGAATAGTTTTCTAACTGCTGAATCAGTTGAGTACTTTCCCAGCTTTTACAGAGGAACTAATCTTGATCTTCAGATGATAAGCTATTATTCTTGCCCCCTGCAATCTAATGTTATAAGCCTGTGCTCCCTGATGTGAAACTGGGTGCCACATTTCAGGCACCTATGAAGAATATGGTGCCTCAGCAGGGGAGTCAAATCAGCTACCAAACTGCTAATTGAGTATGGAGACACCTACAGACAGCACATTCATTGCTGGTTCCAAAAATTTCTCAGAATGAAATATGTAGGAATAAAATCTAGGCACTAGGTACTTGAGCCAGGACTTCCTTGCCTTGCAAGGAAGGTACATTGGCTGAAATCTTTTCCTTCACCCTTTTCTTCCAGCCAAGAATGGCTCTTTCTGCAGATTCAAGCCATTGTTCAGCCATGGGATGGTCTATCCCCTTCATAGCCCTCTCTGGAGACAGTTAGCAGGGTGAGCAGGAATCATCACCTTTCCTGATGTGGCTGGGCATTGCAGAGCAAGATGCAAGAGTAACGGGGCCAGGGATGGCTCTGAAGGCTCACAGGGGAGGCCTGGGTTCTTGTCCCTGCACCCAAAACTATTTCTCTGCTTTACCTAATAATGTGTTTAGTGTAGTGAGGTTGCTGTGACTTTAAAAGAGTGGTAATATCGTGATGCTTTTAGGAGATGTGGTCACAGGCCTTGTCTTGTACAACTATAGGAGTTCTCCTAGCCCCCCAACCCAGCCGCTGACACATGGAAAACAGCAGTGTCCTTAGAACATCTGCTGCCAGCATTTCCATGCATTCCCTCTCTGCAGATTGGATTCCTCCTGTCTTCCCTCTCCCATTCACTCCCCCAGGGTACTCCCTACCCCCTTTCCCTTCCCTCTCCAGTTCCTCCCTTTCCCTCTTTCATCCATCTCCCTCCATTCATTGTTTGCCTTTGTGCCCATCCATTTTCCATTGCATACCTCCCCTCTGCTTTCATGAGTGAAGCTCTGCTCCCGTGAAAGAGCAATCTCTGACCCAGTAAGAATGTTGGAAGAGTGTTGCTCCAAATACTCCTAATACTGTTCCCTGTGTGCATGTCACTACAACTCTCCTTCATTATTGTGCTCCCCTTCTAAGGGCCTTGGTAGAGCCTTGCTCTGTATCACACAGAGCAAACTGTTCTGGTGACATCCACTCTTGAGCTCAGCTGTGCTCACAGCATGTGCAAAATGATTTTTTCCATTACTCCCTTAAGCAGTAGTGGTGGTAAGGGACTGGTTCTTGCCTCCTGTACCCACAGGGTCAGAACATTTCTATTTTGGTATAGCAAGGAGCAGAAGCATAGTTTTGACATTTGCCAAAAAAGAGGAAATGAGCCTTTCGAAGTAAGGGCTGTTCTTAAAAGGGTATGAAACTTGAAAGCCACAAACTGCAGGTGACCAGCTGCTTCTCTTGTGATGGGGATACTTGCTGCCACATAGTGTTTCCTTGATGTCTTGACACATAATTTTTGCATCTCCCAAAAGGAAATGGGGAAAAAAAAAAAAAGGTCTTACCCCATCTTTTCACCCCAGAATCCAAGTAAAAGACTATGGCCTTCACATAAAACATATACAGCAGATTGTTTCATCAAAAGGAAGCTAGTGACTTTGGCATTAGTTCGAGAATTTTATTAAAACCATAGGTTTCCATTCTGTACAAAACAGAGGAGTTTTCTTTTTTTAAAAAAAAAAGTATTAACCACATAGGAAATAAAGCAGTGTAAGTGGTTTGTTGATAAAAACCTCTGAAAGCTATATACAGGATTAATACCACACAACTGTATTGATGCAGAGACTGTCAGCAACTTTAGCAATATATACAAACTACCTTTACACACATAAATATCTTATTTACAGCTAATAAATAACATCCAAAGCTAAATCATGTGTCCTCATGTACAAGAACCTTCACTATTTTGTATCAAAATTCTGTAAGTGTTTGTATTTGATCCTGTATTAAGAGCACACCTGTTCAGACACTTTATTTCCAAAGAACTTAACTCTTAAGAGAAAATTGCAACAAAATGTGAAGTCTATAGGGAATAAATCATTATATTTATTTTTAGAGGTCTCAAATGCAGTGGCTCAATACTCAGCCCCACCCTCAGTGACTCATCACATCTCTGCTGTAGTTTAAGGGTTAGGAAATCAAATGTGAGCAATTTCAGAGTTATTAATATTCCAACATATTGCACTGTTCAAGACTTTTATCCCCAATGTACTAGCAGCCACGGCTGGAAAAAAAACACACTGTGCACATAAACGCATATATGTTGGTTTTGCTTTCAAAACGGGATACTGGAGAAATCACCACCTCCACACTGTCTTGCACATGCAGTAAAAGACTTCAAAAACCAGCATCAATAGCTCATATTACACTTCTCCACGTATCTACCTTCAAGTCCTTCTGCCTCCCCAGTATTTTGTTTATCTTCTAGAAAGCTAAAAGAGGGCTATTGAACCTTCAGAGCACTAGAAAAATTATGTACTACTTAAAAAGGGGAAGCAGAATGCCTTCAATATACCTATTTTTGGCAACTTGCAGCATGTCTAATTCAAGTGTTTTTCAGAGCATTCATTCTTGCGCATCACACAATCAGACTCCTTTTAACTGTCACAGCTCCTGCTCCTTGCTGAATTCCACCTCATGTCAGAAAACCAAGCAGCTCCTACGATCTAGCACTGTATCACAGCCAAGCAACAAACTGACGTGGGTCACTGGCAGTCACAGTTCCAGTACAGGGAAGCATGAGCATGCTTGTCGCTTGTCAAGTGGATTCACTTGCACTGAAGACTGCATACAGCAGCCACTCAGTTGCATGACTGACATTTGGTTTCAAAGAGCAGAGAAACTGTCACAGTTTTGGCATATGGGATGCAAGCAAGTAGTGGGGAAAAAGAAAAAAAAAAAAAAAAAAATCTGTTTCCTGCAGTTTCTGGTAGCTCAATTCCTTTGCAGTTCCTTATTCAGGCAGAGTTGGAGGCTACATGGTTTCCTTTTCAAGGACGAAAGCAGAGATGAAAAGTGGAATGTCTGCATAGGACACTAGTATTGCTGTCTTCTCCTACAACTGCTATTTATTCCAGGGTAAGCTGCATAGAAGTATATAGCTTAACAGATCATACCTATTGCTAAGCAGCACTGGCATCTACCCCCAGTAAAACACATTCATAACCACAAACTAGAAAATTCATCCCCATATTAAGTCAGTCCCTGACACCTTTTAGTAATACACACAGCAAAGGTGTTTTTTCATGAGAAACCTACTCATTTGCTAAAGACACACTTGAAGACAATGAACTCCAGCCACTGAACTGTTTGAAAATTCAGCCAAGCCAGAAAAAAACAGTTTCAGAAGACTCCTGAAAAGAAAGAAAAGCCAGGTACAGGGCTTTGCTTCTTTTCAATAAATACTAGAAAATTGCTATAGAGGATTTGATGTCAAGAAACCTTGTCACAAGGCACCATGATTAAGCAAAATTACTTATTCCTTCCCAGCACTCAAGCCTTTGGCAAGTTGTTTTGCGGGTTTCTTTTTGTTTTTAATTATTTGGATAATGTATTTTTATGGTTAGTAACTTTGTATGCTGAGACTTCCTTACAAAAAGTCTCCTAAGATAGCTAGGAATAGCAGGCAAAAAGCCAGCAGCGGATAAATATTTCTATATATTTGGTTCTGAACATCCAGTCCACAGGGATGAACAGACTCTCCTCCTCCCCAGTGTGGAAAATCTTCATTCTTATAACTTAAGCAGATTCATAAGCAGAATTTTCTTTAGAGGCTTTCTTGGCACTGTGGGGTGGAAAAAAAAAGACCGATAAGATGAAGAGGAAGACATAAGATACTTGTTCCTTTTTGTCTTATTTTTGAGACTTAAGATTAAAAAATACTACTTAACAGGAAAATAAATTATGTGCATGGGCTTTTCCTGGCTGCTGCTTTATTTTACACGTCAGATACACACACAGAGCTCTCAAGGCCTCCCCAGGTCATTGCACTGAAGTGAAGGTTAGCACACATGCCTTTTTATGCAGAACTAGATCTCAGTCTAGTGTCCCCATGAGACCTTTCACACACAGCAATGGCACTAAAATAAATGTAACTATTTCTCCAGCTCAAACTTCAGTGGATAAAGTCCAAATAAATCTGGCCCCACATTTGAAAGTTTACTCTGGGTCAGAGAAATTATTGATCAAAAAATTAAAGTGCACCAAGGGCTATTAAACACAAAGACTCAATCTCTGATCCAAATCAGAGATGCAAATCTCAGGAAGTCACTCACCTGGCAGTGGCCAGCAGTAAGCAGTATGCCAGGGAGAACACCTGCATATGCCTGCTCAGTTTCTGTACCAGCCTCTGAATCCACTGCTGGCCAGTGAGGGAGGGCGGGCTTTGGACTGACTCAGTATGGATGTTTGGATATTTTTCAATTAAGGGTAAATGTAGGGCACCTTTAGATAGGGGCAGGTTTCCTCTGTGTTAGTGTCTTGTCTGTAAACCCTCTCTAACAGTCATTTATACTCAGCCACTGTGTGAATGTGAGAGGCAGTGACTTGTACTTGCTTTTCAGACATGCTAACAACCGCACAAGGAGATGGTTAGCAGAGAACCAAATTGGGGATTTTTAAGATGCCAAAGCTGCCATAAACAAACCTCAGGTCTGTCTGATCTTGATCTTCTGAAGCCTTGAGAAGACTAGTCCACAAGTCAACTAAATCGGGAAGTTTTATTAGATCCTCCTGCTACCACTCAAGTTTCCCCCAACCCAAAACCAGTAGTGATCACTCATACCCTCCTTTCTTCCTGTTGACGGGCTGATCCAAGCATTTCACGAATATTGCTGCCTCTTCTCCCTTACTGAGATGTGAGGTGCCCTCTCGAGAACAGAACACTACCCTGTGGAATAAATATTAGATGATCACATGACTGAGCCAGACATCTCTTTTTAACCATAGGAACAGGACTGGTGCTTGGAAGCAGTCTTCATATTTTGCCATGTCAGGCACTACTACTTTACAAGCCTGTGAAAAAATTATTTTTAAAAGAGAGTTCTGTGACAAAGGAAACACTGTACAAGAAAAACCAGTAAATGCATTATGCATGGACCTCAAACTGTAGCCATAACTTCCACTGGTCCTTTGCACAAAATCTTCTTGTGGCTAAGACAGCAGAAGTTCTATCTCAAAGTCTCTTTAGATCTTTATTTACACCAGTCCTTGTGTGACTTTTTTGTAAGGTGAATGATCTTGGAAGAAAGCCTTACTCCCTCAAATGTTTGCAAACAAAGTAGGTTGCCAATTCCAGCAAACCTGAGCAGTTGCTTTTCTATTTATCAGTTCTTTCCCCACCCCTATATTTGTTCAGCTCTGATAACTGTTCTTCGATAATGTGACTGCCTTGTTTATTCAAAAGAGGAACATATGTACATGACATGCATACTCTGTTTTGGGTCCATTTTCTGCTAACAGGTCTCATGTCTAGTGAATATGAGTATTTCAAAAGATTCAGGTCAAAGCAGTTCTGTTCAGACTTTGCTGTTTCAACATGTATGCACTAGCAACATCCTGCAACAGTCATGTATCTCAGTTTTCACCCACCATTCAGGTATTCCCAACTCTTAAGAAAATCCAGCTTAATGAAGCAATGATTTCTTGTCTAAACGCACTTTTGGAAGCGTTTCTAAAAATCTCCTTCTAAGCATGTTCTTCACAAGAAAACCTGTGCAAGTGTCCAGCAAGAGAAAGGGGGAGAAAAACTGCAAATACAGTTAGAGATGCTGGTTCTTGGAGATCCTCTCCTGCTTATTATAACTAACCTGAGGCACATGAGACAGTGGTATGCAAATGAATTATGTGGGAGTTAAACTACAGATTGCAGATCCCAGTGGAAGCAAACAACTGAAGCTGGCTGACATAAATGTTGGTTTGGTACCACTGGAGCACCGATTATCAGTGCTGCACCCATTTGTAACTGCTTTCTGTGTTTTGTCCTGCCCTGTGAGATACCAGGAATCAGGAAACACTGTCAATTACAACTAATATAGTTTATAACAATCAAAACAAGTTACTTTTTCTGAGTTTCTCCTGACTTCACTCTGACTCTTTGGATGTCAAATGTAAAAGGAGTCCACCAGTCTGACCAGCTGAAGAAGGTGTCTTTCTCCCACTGCAGCTTCAGCATAAGCAGGTCACCAATGTCCACTTCTGTGTAAATCAGGAAGGAGAAGGTCTTGTTTGAGGAGACTTCAGGTCTGTGGAGAGGGTAATAAGGAAAAAGAAAAAAAAAGTGGGAGCTGTTGGACATATAAAGAAAATTAAAAGGAAACACAGAACCAGGACTTTATGTACTTTAGAGAAGAAGGAAGCAACCTTCTCCCCATAGCTCTGATGGATGGAATAAGGAAAAAGACACCTTAAGCTTTTGTAAAGGCATAAGGAAAAGCTTTCTGCAGCACGGCTGGTAAAACCCTGGGACAGACTGCCAGGCAAGGGGTGTCTTCTCCAGTGCTGCTGGCTCTCAGAGAAGCCAGACAAGCACCAGCCAGGAACAGTTTATGTTCCTCAGAGTAGAAGACAGACTTTGGTGCTTTCCAGTCCCATTCCCTGCCAGGCCAGGTGGAGGGATGTAAGCACAGACTTATTTGCAGAGCTGTAGAAGAAAAACGCATGTCTTCCTCAGCTTCTGCACTGAGGCTTTCAGACCCATCAGACAATTAACTCCAGGTTGCATTCTGCTTTTAAGGAGCTTTAACACAGCTGGAACATGGCATAAAGATACTGAAAAGAGAAGAAAACAAGAAACCTGCCACACCAGAAAAATTCTTATTAGGCTGAGCCACAGGTCAGACTTCACATTTCTGTATTTCAGATCTCTTATCATGACCAGCTCCTATAGACCTTAGATCACTAGCTTCAGCAGTAGATGCATCCCCTTGATCAAGGAAAGAGCACATTCTGCGATCCTGTAAGATTTCCATAGCTGGAGGTAGAACAAGTTTTTCAGCCGGGGCTTTACCAGATCGAGGTATACTCAACAGTACATTGCAGTTGTTTCTGTAGCTACTCACAGTGTGAAAGCAATATTCTCACTCTCATCTAGAGTGCCATAGAGAGAGATCAGGAATGGCTGGTTTGTCTTGGTTGTATTAGTCTTTCCAAAGAAATGGATCTTGACCTGGTAATGGAAGACTGGAAGAACACAAAAGAAAAGGCCATTAGGAAAAAAACTCAGCCTCCAAAGAGATTGCTGGTGACAAAACCACCCAAAAAGTCCTATGCAAATCCTAGGCTGGAATATGCCAATATCACTAAACTGAGTTTAGTTCCCTGCAGGTTATCCAGGGAACTATTTTTGTGAGGAGGTAAAGATTAGGATGCAAAGGAATCATGATTAAAAAACACCTTTGCAGTTCTTGCAACTAAACTCTGCATTTGAATTGACTGCCACTATGATAACCCCACAGTCTGCAGTATTGCCTTCAAACCTGTTATAAATGTGTAAAACTTGCCAACCTTGACTTGAAACAAGTGAGCTGTGCCCTCCTCATACAGGAGCCTTGGTGAAAAAAATTCAACCCACTGACACTGCAGATTAAGCACCAAATGCCAACAAAACACTAATCTTGCAGCTGTTCTAACACTGCAGGAATGTGCCCTCTCATTGCTGGTCCATCACACAATGAGCATAACATGTGGCACAGTCAAAGCTAGGGAGTAAAAAAAAAAGTAGTAAAATCCAACTCACAAGTTATTCCTTAGCTGACAGCCTTCCAGTTCTTTCTGGCAATGTCCTTCTCAGACCTACCACTGTGGCAATGGGAATCAAGAAGTGCTGTGATATTTTAACAAGGGCTGGTGCTCCTCTGGCAAAGACACTACGAAGGGCATAAGTCTGATGGTTGCACATCTTTAAAGAAGTTGCTCATCAGGCTGAGCTCCGCTGATTATTTTCCCAGCAGCAGGACAAACTCATTTGGATCAAAAATACGGAAAAAATTTGGAAGACTCAGTTGTTCCAAGTGACTGGGCCACAGAGTAAATCCTCTTAATTTCGCTACTTAGAAACTTGTTACAAAATAATTCCTTTTTGCATTCTACCCCCCACCTCCACACCTTGAGTAAGATGACACTGGTTTTTTGAGACCGCACTTTAGCTTGCGCTTAATGACAAACTGCAGGCAAGCTTCACCCCTGCTCACCACAGGCACCAAAGCAGCCGTATTGTCATCTGCAGCACGCACCCACCCTGACACACAGCAAAAGTACCAGTCCTATTCACCAGTAAGCAAGCAGGACCTACCTTTATAGGGCATCTGAGCACGGGTCTTCAAGTACATTTTGGTGTTTCTCTTCGTTCTCACTCTGTTGACCTTGTAACCCAAATTGTTGCAGCGGTTCTTACGGCAGCTCAGGCAGAGACCCTTCTCAAAGGCCTCCTTTGTGTTGCAGCGGTAGGCCATGCTGGGCTTTTCTTCATAGAGGAGGGAGTCAATGAAGAGGTGGATGGATCGTTCATGAGAGCATTTCACCAGCTGATCCACATCTTGAAAGAAAGAAAATGTATAATATGTATACTCACATGCATATAATGATATAAACCCCTATACTGTCGACAGGCACAATCCACTATGCCAGAGCTGGGCTTTATAGGGTGACTTTTAAAAGCAGTTAAAAAAACAAGTTCCTGTGCCTCTCAGAGAGATCTTTGCTTGCAGGAAACCTGCAGGCTATTGAAGATCTCCCTTCAGATATTATACTCTATGTTTCAGAGCAGCCTCACCTGCAAAGCCTTTTTCAGCAATCAGACGGAGTGCTTCTCCCAAGTTGCAACCTGGCTGGAAACCTCCACCATTAGGATAAATATCGATGTGTCCAACAGGCTTCTGGATCCCAATGCTGCGGTCTGGAGAGCCTCGAGTGTAGGTGTGTAGGACATCCACAAAGTCAGCATCATCCGGAGAGAGGCGGGTGAGGGCATCAGCATACTCAAAGGTAGGACCAGCTGGATCCAGCCCTTTATGGGGCAAACCACAAAGCAAAAACTGAGATTATTGTCTGCCAAAAACACTAACAGCAATAACAAATGCCAAACTCAGCTATGACATTGGGCCAAAGTATTGCATATGGTGTCGGTGTCACTGCAGACATTACACTGGGATGATTTAAGTAGCATTCATCCATACAGGAGAATCAGATACACTACCTTGAAATTCTGTCACTGTTCAAAAAATAAGGTGTATGTAAACGTGTAAAGAAGCCCAGATAACTTCCTCACAGCTGTAGCATTTCCAGTGGATGGAAGAAACAAGCTAGTAAATATTTTCTCAATGTCTCCCTCTCTTGTCAAGCAACAGGAATTGTAAAATTTCTATTTGAAGTGTCTGAAGTGTGGAAAATGTCTTGCTGCTAACTCCCTGCTAGGGGAACAAGTGGGAAACATAAACAAGAGCTTCACTGTCTACATGCCTAATGGGAAGGAGATTATCATGGTAAACTGTCAAGCTACAGCAACACTGGCATCAAAAACACCCAGAACTATTCTGCCAGTGAACAAGTACTCTCTCTTGAATCCAAACCACTACTGGAGAGACAGCTGAAGGCAGAGCTGAAGGGACATGTCTTTTCTGCAGCCCTCAGCTAGGGACAGGCACCTGGGTTGCCCACCCCTGGTTAGACTCACCCAGCCTGAGCTGCCTCCCCCTGCTGTGAGGACTTCAGGGACCACATCCCATCGCTCCCTGTGCTCAAAGGTGATGCCACTTTCCCAGGGACGGGTTCATCCTGGGCACCGAGGGGGCATAACAGAGGGCTACTGGTATTTGAGAGATTTGGCAGCCTCAGTGAAAGCAACAAAGCTGCAGCTGGGAGAAAGGAAGGGTAGAGGGACTAGAGCTTTGGCCTCCTGATTTCAATCTGGCACCTCTCAGGAGTCAGCCTTTCCTGACGCGATTGCTGCCTAGCCCACCCCCCAGCATGCCTGTGGATCTGGGATCACAGCCAGGCTCAGGTGAAAGGGCAAAGGGTGCCAGGAGGAAGGGAGCTAGGGTCCCATTTGAATGCCACTCCCAAGCTCTCTCAGCAGTGAAGACACCACAGATGAGTGATTTTCTTAGCCTCATTTGCTGATGTTGGCATTTCCTTTGTCACCGAGATCAGCGTGAGGGGCTCAGCTCTCCAGGTGCTGGGCGGTAAACCAGCCCCAGTGTGGTCGTGCCTTGTCTAGCACACTTCTCAGCCTCCAAAAACCACCCTAAGCAGACATTTAAGCATGCACAGGAACAGGGCAAGCATATGTATACTTCCCTCCCCTTCCCAAAACTCTCCCAGTATTATTTTCAGCCTACAATATTACTTGAGCCTGTTATGACTAGGTTTTTTTAGTAAAGTACAGTGGATCTCTTCTGATTATCTGTCCAGTCTCCCTCTGAGCCGTATTCTTGCATTCACAGCATCCCATGGCAAAGAGCTCTGCAGGTACTACACCCACTGCAGGAGGATCTACCTCCTGTTATTTTTGAACAGCTCCCACCAGCTGCAAGGGATGATCACCTGGATGAAGACAACCAGCTGAAGTCCTCATGCTGCAAGAGATACTGTGACCTTCTCCAAGCCAGGCATTTGGCCAGTCTCAATCACATCCCACCCAACTAGTCTCTTTTCATGGCCAATGAATCCCTGCCTACTCACTTATTTCTTGTGCAGAAGCAGATCAAGGCTTCTCACCCACGACCTTTGTTGTTCTTTTTTGAACCTTTTCTAGTCCTACTACAGAAATATCAGCCCTGCTGATTCAATAAAGAATGACCACATAACTTAGGTACTGCCAACAAGCAACAATTATTCTGGTGATTTTCCAGAGGAACGTAATATTTTCGCATGGAAGAGAGCTCTCCACTCTACAACCATGAGTTTTCTTACCAGTAATTCTGTTCACCTTCTTCTTGGTCAGGCTCCCAGCAATCCCAGCAGCATGAGCACCTAGACTGTACCCCAGCAAGTGGACATTGTTGAGAGGATAATTGAATTGCTCCTGCAGAAGAGAGCAATTTGTTTGAAGTTTGAAGTCAAATGGGAAAACATCAGAAGACACAAGGGAAAATGTTTTGTAAATACTGTGATTTCTCTTTGAGCCATGAATAATACAAGAAACACTAAATACAATTAACATAATTTTGTGACATACTAGGTCACTTGAATTAACTAACTTAAGGCAAAAATCTAAGCAGAGAGGAATGCACAATGAAGGACAGAACACAGGGCTGTGTATTATATCAAAGGTTTTCAGCCACCCCTCCCCACCAGTTTCTGGATCTCCTAAGTATTTCCCAAAGGCAGGGCAGACTTCTGTTTCTGAGGGCTGGCTGCTGTATAATATGTCAGAACCTGTCTTTCATAACTACCTCTCACAGAGCCTTCAGAAATACTGTGGACTCACAGGGCTCCACAGACCACAAAGTGAAGTTTCTGGAACGTACTATAAAAGGCCTCCTTGTGTAAGAGATAACCATTAAATTAAAGCTGGGATTTTACCAGTCCAGCAGAAGTACTGTCTGCAACAGCTTAATTCCAGGTACTCAATAGGAGATGATTAACACAGCTGCATCATTGCTGTTGTGTCTCCTAGGACATTATGTACAATGTGAGACATGTGACTACGTATCTTACCTCCATCCAGTCAATAAACATAGCAACGTCCTTTCCCACCAGCTTAGTGTATGCAGCAGACACTGGGTAGTGCTGCTGAGCTCGAATTAGCCAGTCCACGACAATGACGTTTGAATCAGGTTCCCTCTTGTACAGAGCATCCACCAACTTCGGGACCCAGCTTTCATACATTCCTGTTACCTGTTGGGTTTTTTTTAATTGAAAAAGGAAATATCTTAATATTATCTGTGCTGTATAGACACCTCAGCTGACATATCTACACAGTTTATCAGGAGTGTGGTTAAAAGGGAGATTCCTCCCCTTTCTTCTTACCGTCCACCCATGGATCACCACAAAGGTTTTACTGGTATGGTTGAAGTTGCACTGTGCCAGGCTGTCCACCTGCCCAGGAACCAGGTAGCAGACATCTTCGTCAGGCTCTGCAGGCGTCCGTAAGGAAAACTTGCTCTCAATTCCCTCGAAATTGGTCTCAGTTTCTGCTACGCAAGAGCACAGGAAACATACAGTAGTGTTTTAGGAGTATTGAGACAAACAGTTCAGAAGTCACAGGTACGATATTGGAGAGATATCAGGAACAGTCAAGACATGGGACATGTGTTTTTCATTTCCTACAGTGCTCCTTTTGCACCACAACGGCACGTGAAGAGGAAATCAAAGGATGAAAATTGCTCCCCCTCCAAGGTCCTGCTAAAACAGTGAGAATCTGGCCAGCTGTCAGAGAGGTATGAATTCCTCATAGGAGTCAGTATTTTCCCCCATTACATTATTAACAGGAAACCTGTGAATTACCACAGCAGTGCAGAAAACTGCTCAGGAAATTCATAGACAGCACATGCAGGAAAGAACCAAGTTCCTACCATAATATTACATATTTTGGTGGTGCATCTTCCGCATCACTTCATCAATAATAACTGCCTAACAAGGCTCTTTATAGCACCCAGTAGCTGCAATGCATTAAAAGTAAGAGCTGGAAAGTCACCACTGTTTTACAAAATGCTAGCTTTAACTTTCTACCAATAGAGAAAAACAGCAGCTGAGATCAGACACCCATTAAGAAAACTGAACTAGCAAAGCAGAAGCCTGTATTTTGAAGGCAGTATTTTTTCAGATCATCTGATAAGCAACACTGCAGAAAAAAATCTTCCTCTGCCTGAAGCTATTTTGAATTTGGGGGGGTGGGTGGGTGGGCGGGGCAGGGGGCAGGGGGATGGGACAGGATGGGACAATACAGGACAGGACATGAAGATCATGTCCTGGTGGTAACAAAGCATGTGATGGCCTGAAAAGATCACTTCTTAAAGAACCCCCTCCAGCTTCCAGCTTCAAAACCTAAGTTTTCCTTTTGTTCCTGCCAAGGCAGAGAAGTGACTTTAGGCTTCATGCTCACTACTTCCTTTGTCTGGGAAGAAACTTAAATGCCTCCTCTTTTTACCTCTGATTCAACACTTAAGTACCTCTATAACCAGCAGACCCTGTAATTAACTGTGGACTTAAATGCCAATGCTTTTTGAAAATTGGGCCCTACTTTGGCAACTTGCGTTTAGCAAATATTGATTGCCTGTTTTCCAAGTCAGCTGAACTCAGGCCTCCTCTGTCCTGCTCAGTGTTGTGTTTCCTGGCATCATGACCACCAAGCTTTTACAAACTCCTAAACACACATTAATGAATGGCTCCAAGCCACCCTAGGGAATGCAGAGGGACACGGTGAGGACCTCATGCCAGATATGCAAAACAGATTTCCACTCCTCCTCTTCCCATTGCAGAGAGGTTTTTTTTATGATAACTGGTAGATCTGTATTTCTCCATAAAGTTGTGCTGCATCACTCAGGGGAGATAAATAATGAACTATTCATTTTTTTCTAAAACTTAGTTTTTCTGGTCTTCTCATTCAAGCTACCATACTCAGCAGGGCCCTGACTTATGCCTGACCTCACTCAGCCCTCAGATAGCTGTATGAAGTCTGGGAGGTTCCTGCTGTCCTTGGAGGGCCACAGAAATCAGGGTCTAACTGCTTCCGTGAGGAGTAAAACCAGCACAGGCTGGCAACAAATGCTCATCTACAAGCCTTGGAGATACTGCCGTTATCCACAATCAACGGCTAAACATTGCTGGAGTTCATCAGGGCTTCTCACCTGGCAAAAGCAAAGCACATGCAGGGAAGTAACAAGAACTGTTCACTGAACAGAGGCAGTGCTCAGCTTTAGGTTTTGACCTTGACTACGCTAGGCTGGCTAGCTAATCCAGGATAATTACACTGAGGGCCCCTTTCCTGCCTCCTTCCCCCTAAAGAAGGGATAAAGTTTACAAAAAACACCTTTCTCCAAACTGGTAGGAGTATTCACATAATGGTGAATATAAGACTTTACCTACTGAAAGCAAAATTTACCAAACTAACCAAATCCTGATCTTTCTCAGAAGTTGCCCCTTTCTTATATTTTTGCACATTCAGAACTTCATTTTCTCACCAAGAGTACAAAACCCTTTTCTGAAACAAATCTTTAGACTTACACTATTTACTCTTTAGCCAGAAAAAGAAAAGTCCCAAAGGCTAATTGGTTAAATATCAACTATAACTTTTCACTCAGTAGTGAATCAGTAAAACCTTGAAAGGGCCAAGAACAGCTTTCCACTGTAAGGCATACAATGCAAGGACTTTCAATTATGCATATTCCTGCCCAGCGCAGGAAGGCAAACAAGAATAGTCCACCTGCTTACTAGTTAATAGTGCTTCCTTTCATACATAGATACCATTTCCCTTCTGAATTAAACCTGATAATCATCCAAAATCTAAATTAAATTGATATCCTGTCTTGTAGAGTGTTTTTAATTACAAACACATGCTAGAATTTGCATGTAAGTTCAGATTGCATCTCTTTTGGAAATAAAATTGTAAATTTAGTGTATTACAAGCTTAAAGGTGCACTTAGAAAAGTACACCAAACTTAGAAAGACTGCAGTCTTTCTAAACCAAATCCATGTTTTTGCTAAAAATCACAGGCTTAGTTCAGCAGAGGTATAAAGGCATGTGTTATGTATTGCAAAAACTTCCAGGCGTGCAGTTGCAAATACAAGCCCCTGTTACAAAATAAAGTTTTCTGGCCGCTGCTATATGCTTGTAGTTAATAAGGTGACCTACAATGGGATTATTCAGAGAACTGGAAAAGGGAGTGGAATTAAGAATTAAGCCCCCAATTTCAGACCCGAGCTGGCTTTTCTAACAGCCTACAGGCTGTGTTGCCAAACTCCATCATTTTATCAAGCTCTGCAAACTTTGTGATGCTTTTCTTACACCTCTACTTACATAATCTCAGTTTTCATATTTTAAGAAATGTGTGTTAAGGTATAGAGAATATTGTTGAATCAGAAGAAAGTGAGAAAAAAAAAGCTCAGGGAAAAGTCAGTAGTTTCATTTTCCTGTTTAAACCTCATGACACTTTGGACTTGCAATTTGTGAAACTCCATTCAGTTAGGGACTCCTATCAATTTTGAAAGCATCCCACTGACTTTAAGCATTCTGACACAGTACAAATACGAGTTTACACACTAATCAAGAGAATTCAGCTTCAAGTTTCTTTCATGGGAAGCCCAAGGCAACCTGGCAACTGATTTTGATGAAGAAAACTGTTTATCGCTGGTCAGCTGGGTAGAGAAGGTGAGTTTTGAAGAAGTAACAGCATCTGGAATATTAATCAGAAGTTAAACTGCCCGCATCAGACACAGGATGCCAAATGTGATAACAATGCATTTGCCAGAATCGGTGCACCTGAACTACGGTTTTAAAAAGGGAATCTTTGATAAACAACAATTTCCTAGCCTTATGTACACAGAAATGGAAATACTATTAGCTAGGTGCAAAGATCATTAGAAATTATACTGCTGGACGTGTAAACTCAAGCCCACACAGACATGTGCGCACACACACACGCACAGCTGCAAACATCTGCACTAACATCACACATTTACATAACCAGCTGGAGTTAACTGGAATAAGACTTCTCCCAGCTGATAACCAGCATTAGAATCATCCATCAATCAGTCATATTGAATTCCTAAATGAGTTCTGAAACAAACCCATGGTCAGCTGTAATAAAGGGGCTGTATCACTGAAATTGTTATCATTTAATTTGATCTACACTATAAACTGAAAGCAGACTACTGTGTGTTGCAATCCCATGAAACCTACCCCACAAGTCAGGTTATTGTTTAATTTTGCTGTAAAGAAATTATAATTTCAAGTTTATATATGTCTTCCTTAGCGGCAGAGCCCTGAGAGTAAGCTGTCCTTCACTTCCCAAGCAGAGTCAATGGAAAGAGCAACACCTCTAAAAAGCAAGTGGGCCCAAGCTCAGATGCTGAGCAGGGACCTCCCAGCTCAAACCCTGCAGCTGGCAAAACGAGGGCAAACCGCTGTTCTCACACTGTGCACATGGGTGCTCGCCCCTCTCCAAGGCACTCCCTGCCAAATAGATCCTTACTCCAAGCTGCTGGGAGGCTTGTAACTCGATCTAGCAGAGCTCTTGCCATCCATCAGTCCCTCTGGGATATCTGGAATTAGCCCAAGACAATAAAATGCAATCACTGTCAGACTTTGCAGTAATATGGAGGAAAGGATGCATGAGAAAGACATGCCATGCAAGTACTTCCCGCACAGAAGAGATTCCAGCAAACTTCTAGGAGTGCTAGTGCTCGTGCTATTCTCCAGCACACTTTTGATGCCTGACAGCCTCACCTCTGCGCCTTCTCAGAAATGCATTGTTTCTGGAAAGGCCATGCCACGCTGCCCTGGTAGGTCTATCCTAAACACAGCCATAGCAAAAGCCAGCAGCTTACATCACACAACAGTGTAAGTCTGCTGTAACCCCTGACTCTGGATTTACACTGGTAAAAATAGAGATCAGAATGTACTCCTAATAATGTTTTTGTCTTTTCCTGGAAAACCAATGTTATCTTCACCTAGAATATCTTTTTCTATGTTGTTTATTAAATATTTTGGATTCCTGGAGGGCTGGATCATGTATTTTCCTTGGTTTCAAAACATCTTTTTACTGTGGTGTGGAAGAAATAGTGTGGGACTGAAGGCTTGGATAACTTTAGGACGACAGCACAACCTGTTTTCATATAACCTGTTCCTAAGGAGACATAATGTAATCATTAGTAAGTCTGTGGCAAATCAACTCCTACAGGGAGTGAAAGCTTGCCCTGGGAAGATAGTTATTTTACTGTATGAAACTTGGAAACTGTGGTGAAAACTGCTTTTGGTTGCCTCTGATGGCACAAGATTGGATTCAAAGCGAGAATACATTCCTAGGCTGTGCCCCAGCACCCCATCCTCTTACTTTTGAATACTTCCCTTCAGCTTCCTCGTACACAAAGGAAATTACAAAGGCATCCACCGTGAAAAAAGCAGCAGTTTCCATATTCCATTTTAGTATCACACAGTAGCTCTAAGAGCTACAGCCACATTTTCTTCTAAGACTGTGGACTTTTAAAGATAGACATTATGTGTGGGAGATTAGTGTAAGAAAGTAAGACTGTGACAGGGCACTGCTAACATAAGTTTGAGGAGTAGTGGTCTCCTAAAACTAGTCTCTTTGCTCATTAAAGCTGCCATCACGTTGTGATTAACCGACAGAGCATTAGTGAACATCTAGTAGTTAACATTCGCACATGTTGCACTTCCTCTAGCCTGTGGGGTGCCTATGCACAATGCAGGTACAACAGGAGTAGTGTTAAGTACAATCATACATATATATACAGACTGAGAGAGCACACCCCTCTGTTCACTTTTTCCCTGATGGATTCTGCTGCATTAAAGGCGTTAACTATCACCCAAACACATCATCATGACACTGATGAAACTCAGCCTTGACTAAGACAATTCGGACCAAGAACGGTAGGAAGTTGGGATGCAGGGCTCCCACGGGATGGGCGAGTTCCATGCACAACGGAGGGCCCCTGGCCCTGCAGGGAGCCGAG